GTGGCTGCGTCTTGGTAAAGAATCATCTCGTATATTATTATCTTCTTGGCCTACATTTTCCATATTCGAAGAATTGAGGCCTGAAGTTTTTATGGACAAGCAATTCGTTTGTGTAGAAGTGCTAGGTTCAGAATCATCAAAATTTGCACTGCAATACAAATCAGGATTTGTTCGGATTTCTTTAGAAGACTCGTTGGATTTTGGATTATTAGTTCCTGGTGAAGGATTTGACGTATTAAACGAGATTGTGGATGTTAACTATTGATCTTTGGACAAACAGTTGGTATGTGAAGAAGTGCTGGGTTCGTAATCATTAATATTACAAGACAAAACAGGAATTGTTTGGATTTCTCTTGGAGAATTATTGGCATCTGGATTATTCGTAACTGATACAGGATTTGAAGATTCTTCATTTACTACGTCAGTTTGCTTACTGTTGGCCCAAATCAAATATAGAGATATATCTTCATTAGGCAAAAGTTCTTCTAGCTCAAGGCGACTTTTTTAATAAAGATCTTTGAATAACTTCAGCTTGTCTTTAGACAAAATTGTTTCAATTTTGTTTTCTAAGCTTTTCAAAAATTCGTTTTGGCATGTAGAGGCTTGAGTATTTTTTCGGTTTTGACTCTTAATTTTTTGTCATATTTTTTTTATAGAAGAGGAGGCAAACAAGCATGCGGCTCACCTGATGTTAAGTGACTACCGCCGCCCATGATCAACCGCAACACCAGGGGAATCGCAGGTGCGTTGCCGGCCCTTTAGAAATTGAGTACGCTCTTTTCTTGAAGGTCCCCAGGTCATATCGGTCCGGAAAAATCGCTGGTGGTAAACTATTCCACAGAGAGGTTGTACGCGGAAGAAAACTCCTCTTGAAACGTACAGTGGTGGACCGCCAAGCATCCAGATGATGTGGATGGTATCGCGACGTTTGCCGCGTAGTGCGTTCACGAAATTTGGCGGTTGGGATTAATCCGAACAATTCCTCAGAGCACTCTCCATGGTATATGCGAAAGAAAATGCAAAGAGATGCAACATCTCTTCGCAGTGCCAGTGAATCGAGCCGATCGGAAAACACTCGGTCATTGACGATTCGAGCCGCTCTGCGGTGGATGCGGTCAAGTGGAAGGAGCTGGTACTGGGGAGCCCCAGCCCAGAGATGGGAACAGTATTCCATGTGCGGCCGAACCTGCGCCTTGTAAAGTTGCAGGCGGTGTGCCGGCATGAAATACTGTCCCGCTCTGCTGAGCACGCCAAGCTTTTTAGAGGCCAATTTGGCCTTCTCTTCCAAGTGACCACGAAACTGCACGTCACTCGATATGTCGACGCCGAGGATTCCGATACTGGCTGAGGCAACAAGGGGAGTGCCTTGAAACTGAGGAGATAAGACAAAGGGGTTATTTTAGGGGTTAACGCGCAAACTTGTGTCTTCTGGGGGTTAAACTGGACTTGATTTAGTCGCCCCCAATCCGAGATTCTGTTCAGCAAAGACTCGACTTCAGACACAAGTTTGTCCCGGCACTCGGAGACGTTTTCCCGAGAAATATTGGCTCGGCCGGTGTAAAGAGCATCACCAATGCTGTCATCTGCATAGCAATGAATGTTACGGGTTTGCAACATATCATTGATATGCAGAAGAAACAGCGTTGGCGATAGCACGCAGCCTTGTGGAACACCAGCATTAATAGGCTTGCAATCGGAGCTTGCACCGTCTACAACGACCTTGATGCCCCGATCTGCAAGAAAGCTGGTGATCCAATTGCACAATTTCTCGGGAAGCCCATAGGAAGGGAGCTTCGAAAGAAGCGCTTTGTGCCATACCTGATCTTTGTAGAACAAGGACGTTTTGGAGAACAAGGAGGTGGTGGCGATAGGCCTGTAGTTGGACGGGTCTGAGCGGTCGCCTTTTTTAGTGATCGGGTTGATGTAAGCCGTCTTCCATGATTTTGGGACTACGCCTAGGGAGTAGGAGTACCGGAAAAGACGCGTTAAAACCGGTGCCAACTCTGGAGCACACGTCCTCAGCACAATTGGGGGGATTCCGTCAAGCCCACTCGACTTGTGGATGTCCAGGAAGAGGAGTGCTTTGCGAACCGAGCGCTGTGTGAACTGCACTTCCGGCATGGAGCACTCACACCGCGGGATGGTCGGCGGCACCCAAAGAAAGAGTCTGGGGAGTTCTCCTTTGCGGTATGGGCCAGTGAGTCGTCCTCCTTGTGCAAAGATGGAAGATATGGCTGACAGAAATTCCCCTGGACAGCCTTGGCGAGAGACCAGAATGCACGGGTTCCAGAAGGAAGGCGGACTAGTTTCAAGCCAATTCTGCCTATGTGCTCTGACTTTGCCTTGGCAATGACTCTTTTGAAGGACCTAGAGGTGGAATTATACTTCTTTTTTAGAGCGCTGGTGTTTACATCCCGGGACGCTGATGCGTCAGCCCAGGCTCGGTAGCACTCCTGCTTATAGCATGATGCTATTTTACAATAGAGCGACCAAACCATGGCCGACCAAACCATGGTCGGCCATGGTTTGGTCGCTCCAATTTATCACGATTTGCTTCCAATGGGCACCACAGAGGAAGGAATAAAAAGTTCCATACCCTTTTTTTTTAACATGGGGAAATGCCTACGCATACCCGCCTCGCGGGAGCAAGGACGGGTTATGTCGGACTCGCACCGACTAAAACCCCATGGTGTTCCACCTTCGTCGCATATTGGCAGGGCTACGGGAACGCTTTCGCACACATTCGCGGCCCCACCAGCGACTGCCGCCCCATGGCAGCACCACATCGGGAGAGGAATATTCCTCCCCGTTCTCCTTTCCAAGTAAGGCGCACCAGAACACATGGCACGCCTTCCTCCACGGCGTCCAATTACATCTGCGCAACAGACGCCCCCGCGTCCGATGCGCGAAGGCCATGGGGCCAGGAAAAACGAGCACTTAGAAGTACTAGCCTTCCCGACCCCAGCGGCGGATCTGGTCTATGGCTCCGCCGCCAACCAAGATTCGGCTGCGGAGGATAGGGAGAGCGGCGCCTCGCAATACCGACAATCCTCTCCCCCCGCAGCCCCATCACCACCGCATCAACGGTGCGGCCCCGTTTGAGTCGCGGAGGATAGGGCGAGTGGCGCATCGCCATACCAACACTCCTCTTCCTCCGCAACTCCACCTCGGCTGCAGCGGTAGGTGGGGAGGACACACCTCTCACCGCAGTCCACCAACACACATCCGAAGTGGGCTTCCCAAGCCCACTCGGAGTGGCCACCTCGGGCCGGCCCTCCACCTCGGACCAGCCATAGGGGTTCCTCTTTGTTTCGCCGTGGGTGACCAAGACACCGCTTCTAAGCCCCCCCGCCACGACAAGGCGGGAACCCGTTCGGGGGGTTAAAAGTTCCATACCCTGAAGTGCCACATCAGTGACAGAATCCGCAACAACGTTGGGATCGTCCGGCGAGAAGCAAACCCGCCCCCAAGGGTAGGATGCAAAGAAAGACTGCATCCCATCCCAATCGGCTGACCTATAGTGCCAAACACGGCGGCAGCCTGCAGATTGCAACTGCGATTTCAGCGTGAGTGGCACCACACTCCGAACAAGACAATGGTCCGAGGAGCCTAAAGGGGCGTCAACGGAAATCTGATATCCGTCCGGGTGAGAGGTCAGCAGAAGGTCCAACAGGGAAGGTGCATGATCCTCCACATCTGGAATCCGCGTAGGCGAAGTAACCAGTTGTGTCAGACCATATGCCAAGGTAAAATCATGAACAGATCTCCCCGCATGATCGGTTAAACGTGAACTAAGCCATTCGGCGTGATGGGCGTTAAAGTCGCCGAGGATCACGATGTCTGCGGAGGGGATCTGCTGTAGCAACGAATCTGTAGCCATTTGGACGTAGTCGAAGAGTCGGTCTGTTTCGGCATTACCGCTATGGGACCTATAGAGGCACCCGTAGACGCGCGGATGGTCGTCGCTGTCTACGCGTAGCCAAAGGATGGACAGGTCCGAACCTTCAAGTCTGCTGAGGCGTTGAGAACAGATGTCCTCTCTGACGTAAACGCAAACTCCAGCCCGAGGCACAAAGGAGTGTTCCAGTTTGTACCCCGAGTAGGAGAGATACGAGACATCAGCCGGAGAGGACACCTGCGTCTCGGTCAGAAAGAGCAGAGCCGGCCTCGCCATCTCGAGATGGTAGTGGACGGCGTTTGGATTAGAGTGAAGTCCCCTGATATTGCAGAAATTCACGGACAGCGTCGCAGGGGTCGCCTTGGTTTTGTTGCTCCGTTTGCCCCGAGCAGTTGTAGTCTTGAGCGGAATTTTGCCCCCCCCCCCAGAATACGCGGGGCAGCCTGAGCACCCACGCTCAGAAGTGGAGAAACATGATCGTGGATGCTCAGTGAGGGATTCTCCTGCGGTGCTGGTACCCTCCTGGGGTAGTCTATCATCATTTAATTCCGCTACCATGTTAATGGGGGGGAGGGGGATTTGGGCCTCCGGCCACCTGCACTCACCAGACGAAACGCGGAAGCAGAGCTTCCACTTCACGCCGGTATTCTGTAAGGTCGTGGTACCACCCCGGTTTGAGCCAGTCCATACGTGCAACAGCAAAGCTGCCGCGTGGCTCTATCACTGCTAAATATATAATATCAACGTACTCTGGGCCAAAAGGGTATAGTCCCCCGGCGCGAAACCTATTTCTCACTGTCTCGGCACAAATTTTCTCTACGGCTGTCTTCAAGAGTGGAGCAAAATGTTGTTTTTTAAGAACTTGTCCCAAATGTTGATTTTTCCAATTTTTTACCGCTTCTCGCCATAACGACTTCAAAGGCCTGAATACTGCCAAATCCATAGGTTGTAAGATATGCGTAGAATTTGGGTTGAGTGCTATGACTTCAATACCATTGTTAGAGCAGAAATTAGACAGGTGCAAAGTTAAATGTGACTTATGTCCATCCAAAAAGAATATGCCAAACATGAAAGACTTTTGTTATATATTCGTAGAATGTCCCTAAGCACATCCACTTTCTGAACGACCAATGGCCCAGTCATCGGGAAAATTTTCTGAAACTAATGACGGTATTCTTGCATAGTTATATACTACCAGAGTAGGTGCCAACTCTCCTGCAGCATTTCCTGTAATCAGAACGGTCAAATTTTCTTTATCGTCGCCTGAAGAAGCATACACATTTTTATCTCCTTTTCTAGCGAGAACATGTCCTGGTTTTGGATTTAAGAAAAATGCACTTTCATCTGTGTTAAAAATTCTTTCAGGATGTTGCATTATGTGAATGAGATTTCTGTCTTTGAGATCACTCTCTACTTCCGAAAACCATTTCTCTATGTCTTATTGGGTAACATTGTCCCTTGTTGTACACAAATTTTGAGCTACCCGTTCAGCAATCGTAGGATGTCGTTTTAGAAATGATGTGTACCATTTCTTGCCAGGTCTATTATCTTTGAAAAGAGTTTCTTGTTTTTTGTCGATTATTATTCGTTGGACACTGTCCATTAAATCCTCTTTTTTACGGGTATTTATCTAACATTTCTTTGATCCATATTTCTAAAATGTTTTCTTCTTCCTTACTTAAAATGGTGCTGGGTCCCATTGAGCACTCAATCGGACTTTTACCAGTAACTTTGTTGTGCAAGGTTATTCTAGGTATATTGAACTTTTTGGCTGCTTCGGATATTTTAAGCCTTTTTTTACTGCGTCAATAGCCCACCCCATTTGTTGAGGCGTATAATCTTTTTTAGGAGCCGTTTCTAAAACAAAGAATAAGTATCATTTTTATCAATGTTCATAACTGGATTCCTATAAAATACCCATTAATGGACACATACGTCCATTACTGGTATACATCAGTATTTTTTCAAATTTACAACTAGCTTATAACAAATAATAATAGTTAGAGTAAAATAAGTGAAAAATTTGAATATATCAAGATGATATTAAGTTTCGACATCTGTCCATTTTTGGAACCATTTAATTACAATGCACCAGTTAAAAACATCAATAAAATATCAAAAATCATAACCTCTTTGGAGTTACAACAATGTGCGTTATCGTCTTAATTTCATAGTTAATCCAACAGATAAAACACATTCTGATTAAAACAAAGCAATACAAGTTTACGTATAAAACTTTCTACTCACCGCACTAACAATTTCTGGCAGGTCCAGCTCCTGGTGGACGATGTCTCTCCTCACCAGGATCGCTGTCCCTCTATAAGCGACCCCTTGAGGATCGACCTCGTCCCTCCTATAGATGGTGTAGTTAGGCAACTTAAAATGCGTTGTAGGTCGTAATTTGGTTTCACCCAGCAAGATCACCTGGATGTCCTGTTGCTGGGTGACAGTGCGGAGTTCGTGGATCCTTTGACGAATCCCGTCCGGGTTCCAGTAAAGCAGACGCAGGTTACTATCCTCCGTAGTGCTTTGCCAGTAGTGATGCCAGTGCCTTCATGACGGCGGTAACGGGGTCTGTCCCGGCCCTTATGTCGGCCAGGACTTGAGTACCGACTTCGATGGCTATGCCTACCAATCTGTGGATGGCATCAGCCGTCTCGAAGTCGGACGCTGGTGGTCTGCGTTCTGTACTACGCTGTGAAGGCACTGGTCTCGGGGCATTGGTTGAGGTCTTCCTTTGGGTAGAGCGCGCTCTGTGTGTGGAGCGGGCTCTGCTTTCTGGTAGAGCCCTTTCTGGCGCTCTACCTGTCGTAGTTGGTGCTGGTGTTCTTGCAGCAACCTGCGCCTGCGAGGCTATTGGTCCTGTGGTTGTAGGGGTAGAGGTAGTCACAAGGCATTTTAAGGTCACAGCCTGAGGAGGAGGCTGTTCCGTTCTCCTGCTCCTATTCATCCGCCTCTTCCTCTGGAGGGTTGCCTCTCAGTGGCGTCATTGGCAGGAGGTCGGAGAGTCGCCCCGGTGGTTGCCCTTTGGTCTGTGGGACCCACCGTTTCTAGTGGTGCTGCAGGGGGGGGCTGGTTGCTTACCCTTCCCTCTGGTGATGGTGGCCCACCCGTCCTCCTGTATGGTGACGGCCTTTGGGCGACTCTGGGGGATCCTCTTAGGGTTCTCCGGGAGTAGCCCAGGTAGAACGATCCCCTGCTTCCTGGCAATCCTCCTCAGGACCGGGCAGCGGCGATCGTCGGCCGTATGGTTCTTAGCGCAATTTGCGCACTTTGGCTCCTCCTCTCTACCCCTTGGGCAAAGGCTGGCAATATGCTCACCAGCACAGCGAACGCATTTCACTGGCCTGAAGCAGTTTGCTGAGGCATGTCCGAAAGCCTGGCAACGGTGGCATTGTGATGGTCCCGTTTTTCTTTGCCAGGCTTCGATGACTACTCCTCTCATGTAGAGGAGTTCGTCGATGTGGTAGAGCTCTTGGAGCCGCTCCAGGCTCAGATGCTCTAGCTGTGCAAAGTAGAGGCAGCCCGGTCTGCCCCTACGTGGTGGTATGGCCTTCACGTAGTTGATGGGGAAGCCCTTTGCCCGAATAGCCTCCTCGATCATCTTTGTGTCGGTGCCCACTGGCAGGCCACGGATGCGCACTTTGGTGGACTTCTCCTCTGCCGGGGTGTAGCAATACCATGACATGGTTTTGTCTTTTTCGGAGAGCTCGACCATGTATTTCTGGATGGTGCGGAACTCATCCGGGCTCTGTGGTGTAAACCTAACTCCCTTCCCGAACGGACGGGCATTAGGAGGGTGGCCCAACTTCTCATTGAGGACCTTAAAATGCCTAGTCCAGTCCGGGAGGCATTCTGCAACAATCGGCGGATATCTCATCTTCTCTCATCTCTCCTTCTCAGTTTTCTGAGGTTGCTCCGCCGATTGCGGTCGTGGTACTGTGGGGGCCGCAGCCATGTGGGCATAGCTCGTTGACGGCCGCTGTCCATCGTCATGAGCTAACACGGACGGGTTGGTGGTTTGTACCGGGGATGATCTTCCGGCTGATGCAGCTAGGGTTGCATATGTTGTTGAGCCCCAGCTGTAGGACTCCTCACCTCCTTGCTCGAATTGGGCCGAGTCGTGGCTACGTCGGTCCGGGTGGTGGCTGTTGCGGTGGTGATGGCGACTTAGGAGGTGAGGTGTGGACCTTCTTCCTAGTCGCTATTTGGGGCTCCTCATCATCCGATGACGCTGATGATGGTTCCGATGATCGTCCAACACGCTGCCTCTTCTCATAGAGGGAGGCCTCGGTTTCGGGTGGTGTATGCCTTCGTGGCGTCGTCATGGGCCGCTGTTGCTGAGAGGGCAGCGGTTCACGCCCACAGAGGTGGTACACTCAGGTACGATGGGCGAGAGTGCAACCCTAGGTGTGGACTCCTTACCCGGCGACGAAGGTTTCCGGGTCGGTATTTGGGAGTAGTATGAGACAACTCTCATCCTCTCCGGGTTAAAAATGTCGCGGTAGGCGATAGGTCTCTCCAGTACGCCTGGCCGGTCCGGTGGTTTCCTCGATTTAGGAGAAGGTTCCCCCTTATCGTTCCCTGACATGTCCCTAACCTAGCAGTCAGCGGTAATCTACTAAATGCCCTATCTATATTCCAGCCGATCGGCAGCAGAAATTGGTGCGCAACGCGGATGGTGGTGATAATATAGAGGAGACTATCCACACTATGGGCACTGCCTACCCCTTTTATAGCAAAAGGGTTGGGGGAAGTGCAAAGGTGGCACTTTAATGCGCGACTGGGCACAGAATGCACGGAACGCATAAAGTGCCAAGAATCACCTAGGGGCGGTGACCTCGACGCCTCACGGAATCACGGGACTCAACGATCGGCGGAGTTTGTCGAACCGGCGGTTATTTGCAGCCACTGCTAACTACGAATAACGCACACCTAGGAGATCCTTGATGATCCCAAGGCATAGAATAAATAATATGTAGTACTACGTTACCAAGGTTTACCTGGAAGAGATTAGTTTTTAGCGATGAGGCCACCTAATTGTACTTAAATTTATAAATTAAGGTTGGTGTGTTATTGTAATATGTTGTGTCCAATAAAGAGTATTAATTAATTAATCAATACGTTGCGAAATGGTGTGTAAAATAATAAGGTACCTATTCTGACTGACCAAATGAACATATTTTTGCTACTATGCGAACTCTGTGCCTAACGCAGGCAACTTGCAAGGTCACTCGTCGGGAATCGCGATTTAATAAATCGCTCGTAAGAAATAGGTAGGTAGTGTAAATGTGCGGGACAAGTGAAAACAAATGGAATAATACATAAATAAGACAAACATTTTTATATTAATGGACTAAATATTATAGTTTAGTATTTGTACTTAAATAGGATATAAGCGTTTTTGTTGTGTTAATAAAGATTATAGTTTAAAGTTACACATAAAAAAGGATATAAGCATTTTATGTTAAAGAAAATAATAGTGTAAAGCTTATATTTGTATAATAGAATTAGTTGGTCACTTTGTATAATAGAACTAACTTAAGGTAAACAATGTAACGTGACTTAGCTTCGTTACTTGCTTTGTCGCGCCTCGCGCTGATTGGTCGATGCCGTTGTACGGTATGTACACCGTATCAATTGATTCAGCCAAGGTAGTATGAAAGAGAGGCGATTTTCATCGTTCGACACATTCGGCGGCCAGCTACCTCAAGGAAAACATCGAATATAGAAGAAATAAAATATCTCAGTGGTTTTATTCTCCACCAACCCAGCACACAATTGTGCCTTTAGGGCACAGTAAACAACAAATAAACCCGAAATATGATTCCTAAATGAAATGTAATTGTATTCTAATTAGTTAAAAATCTTGTGAACAAATGACTAGTTTTTACGGAATTTATCGCGTATATTTAATTTTTTAATTACCCGACGTTTCGAGAGCTTTACAGCACCCATGGTCACGGGAAGGACTGAGATGTTCAACGTCCAGCTGTCATAGTTAACCGCGGTTACCATAGATTAAAATTTAACTTTTGTTCCGATCTACACAGTATGAACTTATGGTATCATGGAGTCTTGCAGTTGTATGCTTGGGTTGGGATTTAATTTTATTTATTATAGGATCCCAAGCAGATGGTAGCACCCAGCCATCTTCTCTATTGAAATTAGGATGTTTTTTGATTTCAATAGCCTCGCGAATCATCCTTGGAAGGAATCGGTGTTCTTTAGCGAGGATTTGTGGTCTATCAAATCTGATGTAGTGACGGGGGCGATCCTGTACATGTTCACAGACTACAGACTTCCCGGAGCGTCGTCCCGGAGCGTAATATTAAAGTAATTTAATGATTAAATTACTTTAATATTATGTTAAAAATACTCACAGATGAAAAGTCTTATTTTTCTTTTGTCTTGACGTTTTTGATTGTTTATTTTCATGTAAATACACTGCAATTCGGCATTTTCTCGGAGTTCGATTTACTGGCACGATCACTTCGGAATGACGCACGACGCGGAGCAACTAGTTTTATATAACGGGTATGAGTCGAACTCTCGTACCTTTTACAAAAGGGTATGCCTTGCGATGCCGTCTCCTTTGGTTTAATACTCAAAGTCCTTACCTCTATACTTCATTCCCATAGACTTCATGCCCATAGACTTGGGCAAATATAATTAGTTCCATAGATTTAGCTAAGTCTATGAACCAAACCGCTATTTTACACAGACTAATGTGCTATTTTATGAAATGTTAATTCTGGCGGACTGTCAGCTGTCATCGCTGTCATATAATCATACGTTCATGTCAAATTGTAATTAATGTTTGGTATGTTTTTCAAACTCAGTTAATTCTTTAATCTAGTATCCTTAATCAATAATGGATATAATTGAAAACATAAAGAAAGACAAGGCATATATGAAATGCAAATTAATTGTAAAAAATTGGGAAAAAGATTTCAAATTAAAACATTCCCGAACGCCATCGAAGTTTGATATTAAAGAAGCCCCTTCCAGTATTAAATATGCATACAAAAAGTATTTTCACCTGAAAAGTGAAGCTCTTGAGAACTCGTTATCAGTTTGTGAAGTTGAAAGGGAAGAAGTTGGTTCTCCAGACTTAATACATCTTGATTTTGTATCAGATGTCAGGCCTTTAGAACAAGAACCGGTATTGCCGTCTCTACCTAGTGGCCAAGAACTGGAGCAATTGTTATCTGCTTCAAAGGTACAAAATGATGTTAGTTCTCAAAACCCTTTTACAGAAAATTTATCAAAAAAATTATTTCATAACAGAAAATTTGCGTTAAGGAATCCTAGAAAATTCCATTTAAATAAATCTCAATCCCAATCAGCAGAAGATAACGAAATATCTAAAGATAACAAAGAAAACCTGTTTGAAAACAAATGTAGCATTAAAATATCAAATAGTGAATTGACTGATCCTGGCTCTTGTGCATCCTATTTTAATGCTGCTTCATTTGTAAGTGACACTAAAATGCATATTAATAATACATTATTAAGTATAAACCATTCTAAAGATACTTTAAAAAACACTTCAGTGAGACAAATAAATAGTGCATGGTTAGAAAGAGCTAGTGGTGTACAAAATGAACTTCACATGGAAAATGAAGTCAAAAATGACAAAAATATAATAAATAAATTTGGATTAAGTAATATAGCTTTGCCTTCTTTAGAAAAACCTTGTGACTATATAGAAAATAGTGAATCTGAAGAGGATGATGTAGTAATTGAAAAACTTAAACCTGCTCTAAAAAAAAGAAAAGTTGAAAAAAGTATAAACTCCCTTGAACTACATAGTAGGCATACAGAATGTAAAATTAATATTTCAAATTCAAATATCAGTGAAGATGTGAAACAAGTAAATAAAAAACAAAGTAAACGAAACTCTAAAAAGATAATATCAACAGAAGAAAATAAAGTTAGTGAAGATCAACCACCGGATATTAGAGAGTACTTGCCTTTTGGGCTAGACAAGCAAGTTAAACCACTTATATCAAAAGTTACTGACCTACTGGATGCTATAGATACATCTTCCATGTGCATTAATAAAATAAATTCTGAATCAGAGCTAGACAAGTTAGAGAAAAAAATTCAAGCTGGAACTATTAATGACAATTTTGTGAAAGTAAATATAGAGAAAAAGATTTATGTAAGAGGAAAAAAAAATTTTAACTATTCAAAATACAAAAAGAAACAGTGGAAAGATAAGAAAGCCTTGCATGGTGGTATGGAATTTCCAGAATCTGGTAAAGTCTCCTGTTTCAAATGTGGATTATCAGGTCATATGGCTAGATATTGCACATCTCACAAAGAAAATTCTCTTTTGCCAATAGAAACAGTATCTGAAGATGATATTCCCACATTAGGAGATATGCAAAAAATTGTAGAAAAAGAAACAAAAAGTGAATCTATAGAAGAGGAATTAAGTGCATGTGTATATTCTTCCAGTGAAATACCTAATGAATTCTTAAAATTACTTGCTGAAACACCCATAACAGAGCACTATAGTGAAATGAAACCAGTATTTACTAATGAAAATAAAAACACAGAGGTTTTATATAATGCATTACAAATGTTTGGACATCAATCATTTCGACCAGGACAAGAACAGGCAATAATGCGTATATTATGTGGCATGTCAACCTTATTAATTTTGTCGACAGGAGGTGGAAAATCCTTGTGTTACCAATTACCTGCATATATATACAGTCAACATTATAAATGTATAACCTTGGTTATATCTCCACTTGTCTCATTAATGGAAGATCAGGTTTTAAGTATGCCTGATTTCTTAAAAGCAGGGTGTTTGCATACTAATCAACCACCGACACAACGCCGTAAAATAATTGAGTACTTAAGAAATGGAGAAATAAATATTCTTCTTATATCACCAGAAGCTTTAATATCTGGAGATTCATCAAATGGATTTGCAGGACTATTTAAATCATTACCTAAAATAGCATTTGCATGTATAGATGAAGCCCACTGTGTTTCACAGTGGAGCCACAACTTCAGACCTAGCTACTTAATGATTTGCCGTATATTAAGAGAAAAATTAAATGTAAAATGTATTCTTGGACTAACAGCAACAGCAAGTCAATCTACAATAAAGAGTATTATAGATCATATTCATATTCCTGATGGCTTGGAAGGAGTGGTTGAAAATCCATCTCTTCCAGATAACTTGTATTTATCAACATCTTTTGAAAATAATAAAGATAGAGCTCTAATAACATACCTAAATTCTAAAAACATTAGTGATTTTAACTCAATTATTGTCTATTGTATAAGGAGAAATGAATGTGAAAGAGTGGCAGCTGTATTGAGATCATGTTTATCACAACCAGGAAAAATAAACATGGAAGTTGGAAATAAAAAGAGAAAGAGAATGTCTTACATTGCAGAAGCATATCATGCGGGTATGTCAGCTGCACAAAGAAAAAAAATTCAAAAGCATTTTATGGACGGAACATTAAAAATTATTGTTGCAACAGTTGCTTTTGGTATGGGAATAAATAAACCAGACATAAGATGTATTATACATTACAATATGCCTGCAAGTTTTGAATCATATGTTCAAGAAGTTGGTAGAGCTGGACGAGATGGGCTTCCAGCTTACTGCCATGTATTTATAAATGATAACAGCAATGACAAAAATGAGTTGTTAAAACATATATTTGCTAATTCGATTGACAGACCTATAATAAGACGATTGCTTCAAAAGGTTTTTATATCATGTCAATGTTCAAAAGATTCTAATAACTGCTCAAGATGCAAAGGTCATGAAGTTGGAATACCTATAGATACCACTGTTGAAGAATTAGACATACCTTCAGAAAACATAGCAACCTTATTATGTTATGTTGAATTGCATCCTAAAAACTATATAAAAGTTCTTAATAATGCTTATACTATTTGTAAAGTTATTTCATATGGTGGCCCAAAAAAAATTTTAGAAGCTGCAAAAGTTTGTCCTCCTCTTGCCATGGCTTATCTAATTGAAAACAAAAAAGATCAAAATGTTACAAAAAGAAGCACTATTGAATTTAATGTGATAGAAGCTGCTGCTGCAATTGGCTGGGAAAGCGGCATGACTAAATACCATTTAAAAAATCTGGAATGGGAAACAATCAGTGGTTCATCAAAAAGATCTCAATTAAAAGTAGAATTTCATACTCTGGGATTCAGAATAAAAGCTCAAGGTGACTTATCTGCAACAGAACTTGATTGTATTTTAGATGACTTACATCAATCTGTCCGCAAACAAGAAGAAATTAGCCTCTACCAGCTTGAAGAAATTGATAAGGCTTTCAGACATCTTTGTAATTATTCAGTAGAAAAGAGTGACTTCTCTGAACAGCTCCTGATAGAAAAATCAAATCAATTAAAAATAATAATAAGAAATTATTTCCAAAGACAAAGTGATTTGCCTACTAACATTGTTTTGCCAGAAAGGCCTTTAGATATAGACCGAGCTATTTCCGATATACGTGCATTAATTGCTACATATAAAGACTGCAAGTTTACAGGAAGAAGCATAGCTAGAATTTTCCAAGGAATATCATCCCCAAATTTTCCTGCTATCGTGTGGGGCAAATGCAAATTTTGGAGAACTCATATACATGAAGATTTTCATGGTTTAACTAGAATAGCTACACAACAAATAATTCAAATGAAATGAATTTTAATTTAAAATCAGAAAAAATACAAATGTTAAATTAAATGACATTTTGTTTTCTTTAAACTCTTCTTCAACATCCTTTTAAAAATGTTTAAAATATTCCTCTAAGCTTATATATATATATATTTCAAATATTCTTTGTGTATTTATTTTAGTATTCAAACCAGAAAATGTAAAGTGATAATAATAGTATAGTAATAAGCATTGAGCTCACTAATCTAATAAAAACAAGTAAAAATAAGCTCTTTAAAATATAATGATTTCTTATATTTACGTGAACACAACACATTGATTAAAACCAGTTTTCTTAGGAATTTTATCGCGTTTTATTTGTTTTATTTTTTATACCCGACGTTTCGATTGCTTTCCAGTATCCATGGTCACAGGGAACTGAGGTGACTGACGTCCCAATGTATATGAGTTAACCTAGAGTATCTTAAGCTTTTAGAGAGCCCTGGTAGCTCAGATGGTTAACGCTCGCTGTAAATATAACAGAACGCGAGTAACCCGGGTTCGATCCCCGCCAGCACGAATAAAATTATTAATTGCAATTTTAAGTGCTGATTTACCACATACTCGGCGGTGAAGGAAAACATCATGTCTGAGGAATAAGGAAAAAAATATTTTGAAGACACGTGAAGTTCGCCAACACGCATTGGGGCAGCGCGGCGGACACTTCCATGCCCTAAAATCCTCTCAGAAATGAGGGGGAGGCCTGTGCCCAGCAGTGGGACGTAACTTTACCTTCAGTTTTATTATTTATGGACCGATCTACGCAGAACGAACTTACTGTGTCTTGAAGTCTTGCAGTGGTATGCATGGGTTTAGCTTTAATTTTATTAATTATAGGGTTCCAAGCTGGTTGTTTTTTAATTTCAATAGCTTCACGTATCATCTTTGGTAGGAATCGATGTTCTTTCGTGAGTTGTTTTTTAATTTCAATAGCTTCACGTATCATCCTTGGTAGGAATCGATGTTCTTTCGTGAGTTGTTTTTTAATTTCAATAGCTTCACATATCATCTTTGGTAGGAATCGTTGTTCTTTCGTGAGTTGTTTTTTAATTTCAATAGCTTCACGTATCATCCTTGGTAGGAATCGATGTTCTTTCGTGAGTTGTTGTTCACCATAGACAACTCAACCTGGCATCATTCAACGCATGCACCCTAAGGACTGACGAAAAGATCATGGTGCTGGATGAAGAGATATTCAAGTTGCGCTGAAATATTAAAGGATTATTGGAGGTAAGAAGAGAGGAGGAGGACACGGTTTTCTTCGAATCCGGAAATTTGTTTTAACACTGGGAGGACGACTATCTGTCCCAGTGTGGGATTTATCGTCCACGAGTCTCTCGTTAACAGCGTCATAAAGATGCGGAGTATGTCCATGAGGGTTGCGTTAGTATAACTCTGAATTACGAAGCGGTATTCTTTGAAGGTCATACCGGCTTATGCACCAACCTCGACACATCCCGATGAAAAGGTGGAGGAAATATATGAGGATATCTCTAGAGCCACTTAGATCTAGAGATGAGAGATGTAGATAGATAGATACACTAGAGAATATTTCCCACCCACTATACGGTACGTATTAATAAGAGACTGAAACGCAAAAAAGATTACCTACATTTTTACAATTTACATTGAACAGATGATAGATTGACAATTATATATATATATATATATATAAATTACGTGTCACGTTGTTTGTCCACAATGGACTCCTAAACTACTTAACCGATTTTAATCAAATTTGCATACCGTGTGCAGTTTGATCCAACTTGACGGATAGGATAATTTTTGCCCACAATTTTTTGTGCGAATTTAAGGATTTTTAATAGGACATGTCAAATTGTCGCCGAAAAGGGCAGAACAACGTCTGCCTGGCAAGCTATTTTCGTATAAATTTCACAATATCACGATAATTTAAATTATACAACTGAAAAGCCTTGCCTCTAGCCTTGTTATGGTTTTAACAGCAAAATTAAAGTAAAAAAATAGAATCGAAAATGTATTTAAAATATTTATTTTTGTTTCTTAACCGACTGGGTTTGCTAAATATAAATAACGTGTGCAGATGGCGCTGCTAAATACCTCGGCACAGCCGCGATATGCCTGTCCTCTCTTCTCGCTTCATCGCAACTATTGTACCAATCAATCTATTACGAACATTGCCCGCTTCTCTCTCTGCTCCTTTAAGATATTATCCATTCATCACAGTCTTTCAACTGTACTGCTTTTTATAGGCCTCCTCCATAGACGGTCTACTAGGCGAAAAATCACTATAAAGGTGCTAAAGGGGATTATTTATGTACTAAAATAATGTGGCCATAGATGTACATTTTTTTGGTTTTAAAAGAAGACTAGTAACGCTATGAACATTAGTAATACTCCCGTTAATCACTTTAAGTAAGCTAAAAAATGTTTGTGTAAAGAGTGGTTTAACACAGTAGTCGAATGGTGGATTTTGGCCACTGCCGCTTAAATCCAACCAAATTTTCGCAATTGAACCAAAAGTGTATTTATTGCTTAGCCTAAACAGTAAAAACATAACTTATTTTCTCAGAGCCCCACATATACACAAATACGATAGTATATTAATAAACCATAACAATATAATATATAACTATCAGGTATATATATATATATATATATATAATATATATATATATATATATATATATATATATATATATATATATATATATATATAAGATCATAAAGTTAACAAAACAAGATGTCATAGGTTTATATATTACCCCATTCCATGCCAGCAACGCACTCGCGTGCGTTTTAGTTTTTTTTACTTGTGTGCCGGCAACGCACCCGTATGCGTGTAGTGTATGTTTTAATAAAGTATCATTTATTCACTGCGCGTTGCATTATTATTGCCATTTTTTAATACACCTCAATTTAGATTATATTTCTGATATAGCAACACCGTTACAGTAGTAAAAGAAATGTCGCATTTGAATTGACGCCGGTTTTTCTGTTTGTGATTTTTGCTAGTATTATAAATCAAGTTTTTACAGTGATTTAGGTATTAAAAGGTAAGTAAATATGATTTTTTAATCAAATTTAGTCATTTATTTATAACAACAACGTAATTTTAAGTCTACTGATAATATTTTGGATAAATTTTGAAGTCCAAAACATACCAACGCTAATGTTGCGTTCAATGGCATTTATGAACGACTTTGTTCATGGATGGTGTTACACATCGACAATAATCGGTCGCTCAATGTTACTACTGCTATTGTAACTTTATAATGTTATTTTATAACTTGAGATATTTTACTGCAGTGTTCGTATTACATACCCTACCTACATGGTACAAAATAAAACCGTTTGTGAAAAAACGCTTTTATTTTTAAATTTGAATGTGATGAATTGTGTAAAGTAACTAGTATTTTTGTCGTTTATAGGTCTTTTGTTTTCTCCTCAAGCATTATGGCAAATAATAATAGAGGTCGTCGTTTGGTTGAATTGTCACTTAATACTGCCGAAGGTACTAATTTAGAAGCTAGTAAAGAAAGTTATTCACAAGATAGGTACAGACAGTTGATCTTTATCTATTAATATGAATGGTTAGAATGATTTTATCTATTTAAAATCAATATATTGAATGTTGTTATTTTTTAAAGTTCAACAAATCGGATAATAAAAATGTTTCAGAGATAAAAGTAGCACGTCAGGTTTAAAGCGGAAAAGGGCGAGCTCTTTATATACGGCAGTAGAAGTGGAACCTAAGAATATTCGGCGAAATTCTATTGAAACACGATGCCCAATATTGCCATTCCCACATTTTGTTCAAAGGTAGGTAACCTACACATTTTTTTTCTTTAGTTTTGAGAGTATTTTTTAAGTTTAGTTTTTCAATAGAATATTGTTGTTTCAGTAAACAACAACTATTCAATCAGTCTCCAGTACTTTGCACATCTTCTAGTGGTGTAGTTAAAACTTGGTCTGTCGAAAATGTGTCAGAATTACATTCAACTTCGAAGACCATTGTAATCGATCGATGGTTGCCCAAGCAGACTGTGATAACAAATCATTTACTAAAATCTTGTATAATGTATTCTGCTAGAATACCTACATTGCTTAATCTTTTAGCTTTTTTAGATACTGTTTTACATAACTATGTTGAAGCTCTTGGGCTAAAATATTTTCTGTATTTGCTAAATAAATATTTTTCATTTTACTATAATAATTATTATGAAAATACGTACTTATAATATAATTATGAAAAAGGAGAATTAAAGACTGCTTTGATCTTATATGAGTATTTTTATTTCTGTCACCTACCCTACACCCTAACAATTTAACTATTGGTTCATGTTTCCCAGTCGTGCATAAAGCCATCCACTATATACTCTCAAAAGTGCGTTCTCGGATCTCTCGAAAAACTTTTTTCATCATGTGCCACCCACGCACCGTATGCGTTTAGTGTATTTTTTCGTATTTATCAACAATATTTATTTAAAAAAAATCTAAATACATCATTAGTAATCCATTTCCTACCATAAAACATAATAAAAACTGGTGGCACCTGGTCAACAACTTTTAAAAAAAGGTGGCATCGAATGGGTTACTGTGTTACACAGATTAAGGATCTGTGCTGTGTTATCTATATAATTGTGTATTATTGTGTCCAATATTAGGAGTACATAAGGTGGTTCATTGCCATGTAAAAGAGCGCCTCTCGCCATCCAAAGTAAAAATTAAGTAACACCACTGTCTTATAAATTCATTAATAAATAATAAATAAAAAAATATTATATACTTATGACATCACAACGAATGTAAAGTAAAATAACCACACTATTGTTCTTTGACTGTGATAATTCACAATACAGTAGAATTGTGGACATCCTCTTTCATGGAGTCGACTACAAAATTTTAATACAAAAATTATTACAAAGAGAGCATTTTGTAATAAATTTAAAAAGAATGAAGAGTAATAGTCTAAAATTCTATGGGTAGATGACTTCATCAGCTCAGTTTTATATACTTTTTATATTTATAGCCCTGTATGCTGTTTTAATAAAAGCTAATATTTTGAATTGAGAATGGAATAAATGTACAACATATTAAATAACATTTATTTATTTACAAAAAAAAAACAAGAAAAATGTAGATAAAATGAAACTTGAAAACGCAATAAATATGTCACAACCAAAAAAAGTATTGTTTTATGTTATACAAGAGTGCTTGTTTTTATAACGATAAATAAATGGAAATTAACACTAGTAATTGGAGTACTTCAGCTTTAATTTTTAACAACGTCGTAAGGAGATTATTACATTAACACTTTGGACGGAATATAATTGCAAATCGCTTTCATTTTGAGTTTCAGAATCATAACACAGCAGCATTTAAGAACAGTTTTAGCATTATTTATTTTACTCATAAACAATTTTCACATCATAAGAACCAAAAAATTTATTATATCTAATTTCATTTCATCTACATTTTTACATGAAGTAGCGCAACAATTAAAATATAGTAGTACTGCATGTATTTAAAGAACTCATTCCATGTTAACCTTCACTTTAAATACTTCTAAAAATATGATAAAATAAAAATATTAACAAAGAAACTAAAAGAAATTCCATATCACTATAAAAACTTTACAATTACAACAATAAATATTAAGTAACTTATATAAATTAAGTCGTAATAAAAGTTACATCATTTATTATTACTAACCAAAATATTAAATTATATATTTTTCCTTTAGATGAGAAACTTTAATTACATAACCTGTTAACAAATACTTATATTAGTTACAATTTAAGATTTTGAAATATTATTGCAGGTAGTTAACTATCGATTAAATTAAGATAATATACTAGACGGACAGTGACACGAAGCTGTTGTATTGAGCTATATTGCGTTTCAAAATATCAGCACAAAGTCCCAACACTCTCTCGAACCTGTAACACATTAGATATAACTGTTATTATGTATTATGTATTAGCGATTACGATTTCATACTATAGCAATTTATTATAACTTTTCTTCCTGGGTTATTAATAGAGTAATCACATCTGGGTGGGCTGGATAAATATATAAAGGGAAAAATAAATATACTTAAATATATATTTAATATACTAACATAAATAAATAAATAAAAGCCCAACCAGATGGAAGCCCTCGGCAGGGGAGACCAAACGGCCGAGGGTTAGGGGGAAAGGGAAAGAAACCGGCGGACGATGCGGGCGGTATCGAGGAGCACCGCCTTCTGCATTTGAGCCCGGAGCGGTCGGCCACGGAGTCCCAGTGGCCTCAGATGGCCCGAGAGGCTGGCTGGGATTAACCAGTTTGCAGACACGACTACAGGAATAATTTCGGTCGGCAGACCACCCCACATGTCGGTCACCTCGTGAGCCAAGTCCAGATATTTTGATTGCTTGTCTGTTATTATAACTTTTCTTATTATTATCCTTCCTATAGCTCGATTTCTCTCCTCTGTGCTGCTGTCTCTCTTCAATTTATTATTATGATTCAACTCATTAGCTTGCTAAATATTAAGATTGCTAAGTTAACAAAATTAAACACATATAAGTCACAGCCTAAGAAGAACATACAGTCAGTCATCGCGTTTAAAGTTGTCGGAAAAGCCGACAAAAACAATCAATTGCTAGGGTTGACAGAACGGGAAGTAATAAAAACATAAAAAAACTCCTTAATTTTATTTCGCGTTTGAACAAATTCCTGTGTATGTGCACAGAATAAATAATAGTACTACGTACAGAAGTTGCACTCCTTTGATGTCGACTGCTTGCCGACGTTAAATAGCCTACATAATTATTATTAATCAGATAAATCGCGCACGTAAGCTAAATAAAACTTTATCGCTGCGCGTTAGTGTCCATATTACTTTGCATTTTTTGCACGGCTGCTTCGCCGTGACTTAGGAAGCGGAGCCGTGGTAGCTCAGATGATTAACGCTCGCTGTAAATATAACGGAACGCGAGTAACCCGGGTTCGATCCCCGCCGGCACCAATGAAATTGTTAATTGCAATTTTAGGTGCTGATTTACCACGTGCTCGGCGGTGAAGGAAAACATCGTGAGGAAACCTGCATGTCTGAGTAATAAGAAAAAAAATTATTTCGAAGACATGTGAAGTTCGCCAACACGCATTGGGGCAGCGTGGCGAACACTTCTTTGCCCTAAAACCCTCTCAGAAATGAGGGGAGGCCTGTGCCCAGCAGTGGGACGTATATAGGCTATAGGCTGTAGGCTGAAGTCACGGCGGACTGTCCGTGGTTATTAAGGGATGTCAATAGAAAGTAAAAAAATATATTGCGAAATGTTAATTATGTTACTTAAGTGAAGTACCTATTCTGACTATGATCGACTGACTATACTTTCGCCCCTATGTGAGTTCTGGGATGCCTAACTCATGCAAATCGCAAGGTCATTCGTCGGGAATCGCAATGCTTGGTTCGGAAAAAATAGGTAGATAGTGTAAACAACAAATAAACCTATCAATGTGATCTATTATTCTACTTAGTTAAAAATCTTGTTAATAAACAAAGTTTAATTTCAGTATTTTGTGTTATTATAACTTAAAATATTTTAATTACAAAAGACAAGTATATGTATGTAAGTAAATACTTGGATAGTGAAGTAAATTTTAACTAATTTGTGTAATAAAGTACTTAGGTATTTCTTTTATAGAACAAATTATTACTTAATTTTTTTTTGCTGTAAGCACCTATCTAACAAAAAAATTAAATAAATTCACCTTTCATAACTTCCTTCTAAAATTCTTCGGTAACTTAAAGAATGATATGAAATCTTTTGTTGGTTATTTCATTTAGTATCCATTCACGCAACATTTATAAGTAGGAACGACGTTTTGCTACACACAAGTACCTGGCGCGGTCGAGCTTGACGCACTTGAGCGGACCGGCGGCGCGCACGGTGGCGGCGCGCGGTCGGTCCAGCAGCAGCGCGATCTCGCCGAAGTAATCGGACGGGCCCAGCCGCCCCACCTCCACCGCCTCGCCACCCGCCCCGCGCTGCTGCAGCACCACCGCTGTTCCTGCCGGACACACTACACTAGGAACACACTGCTCCTCCTACGTATCGTTACGCAGAGATGGGCAAAATAGTTTTTAAAAAACAAATTATTCAAAACACTATATTTAATTAAATATTTGTATATTTGGATTGAAATTTAATTGAAGACCATAGACAACCGCACAGGTTTCAAAATAGTAATGGACTTCGGTGGCAAAACTGCTCCACTGCAATGCTCATGCTCACTGAACTTTATGACAGACTTAATAGTCGTGGCGTGCAGGGTGTAAAGTTCTATTTGTTTATGACGTGCTACACTAAGTTCTAAGAACACACTGGTCGTACGTCTACCATTATTGCTCGCCTTGTTTGCGCACATTCATTATTCTTCTTTATCTTGTTAGACGATCGTGTGCTTCGAACATTGCGTAGCTTTCACATAAAACTTTTATGTAATAGCAGTTATGCTACTTGTGTTTCCTATAGTAAGTGTAGAGAACCGAGGTATTCTATACTAGTCCTCAGGAGTGACAACGCACGTTTTTATCTTGCAGGCCAAGTTGACAGGATACTTAAATCATGTTCTTACGAGCTTGAGGTTCGTGACAATAAAAACTGCCGATTGAATTACCAAAATTTACACTTTTATTACCGAACAACAATTAAAACTTAAAACACTGATAATTAATCACACTGATTCACTTTATTTCGCTCCGAAGCTTCGCTTGTCTCGCCAAATTCAATACTGCCGCGATAGTGGGTTGCAGCGGCTTTAAATACACCTTTTACACTGAAACATCCAGAATATTCCAGTAAATACGGGCGCCGAACGACCAGAAACAGAAAGTTCGAGTGTCGGGTTTCTAGAAAGCTTAGTTCTGTTCGATACTAGATGGCGCTGTTGGTCGAAAGATCAAGATTAACATTTTCTAGGAAGCCCTCCTCACTCTGGTCCCCGACACTAGATGGTGCTAGTGCCAGGTACCTGACGTCAACTTAGGCGCGCAACACTGCCCCCTCTTAAAACATGCTCGTCCCGAGCATTATCGGCCCCATAAAATACACGCCAGGCAATCCACATCGACGATCTTAGGAGTCCCTCTTGCGCCTTTCTGAAACGGCTCCGCAATGTAAAGGGCTGTCCTATCTCATGGTGCACCAACATTGTACAATTTCGATGCTGCTCTACTACGTGTCTGAGGTCCCGTCACAGCCGCACAACTTGTACATGTGCGACACCAATTCTCGACATCGTCACGATAATGGACCCAGTAAAACTGTTCTCGGATCTTCAGTAGAGTTCATTTAACTCCCAGATGGCCTTCTGAACAATCATTATGGTACAGCTGTAGAACATGCGGTACTTCAGCTTTAGGGAAAACCATTTGCAAACGACAGCTGTCTCCTCGACCATTGTCCCATTTACGGCAAAGAACTCCATCCTGAATCAGCAAGCTGTCCCATTGGGCCCAATAGCTTTTAGTGGTCGAACTCAGCGCTGAGACGTCGTTCCACTTGGGCTTGGTAGCTCGGGCCTTCATCCATTCCAGAATCGGCTTGATGTCCGGATCTTCCTGCTGTGCATGTTGTAAGCCGTCTTTCCACTCGTTGCTGAGGTGGTCTGTCCTGAGCATCCTCACGGATACCACTTCCTTACTCTCTTGCCTAGTACAGTGCTTGCAATCTTCAGGACAAGGTCTCCTTGACAATGCATCTGGGTTGCCATGCGATTTTCCTCTGCACTGTTCAATCACAATGTCGTATTCCTGCTGCTGGGTCGTGCTGTTAGCCGCACAACCCTCTCGAGATCGATCACCTTCCCTTTTCACAGATCGCTTAGGGCAGCTGGATCGAAGATGGCCCCTTTCCCCACAGCCGTAGCACGTTGGTCTGTAATTTTTATTGTGGTCGCGAACCGTAACTGCTGCAACTTACCTAACGTAAGGGGAACGATGATCCTGCCGCCGCCAGGCGGTGCCGTTAGCTGCACTACCCTCTCGAGATCGATCCCCTTCCCTTTCTACAGTTCGCTTAAGGGCAGCTGCATTGAAGATGGCCCCTTTCCCCACAGACATGCCCTAGGGCTGTATCCTTTGTTGAAGTCGCGAACTGTAGCTGCCGCATCCTCCCTGACGCGATGGGAACGATGATCCTGCAGCACGGCTTCAACCTCAAGTGCATGGGCCAAAGCTTCCTTAAGCGTCACGTGGTGCCCAAGCCTCACAGCAGCTCTGCAGCTCAGCAGCTCTTCCAAGTCGCGGGTGCCGTCGATGAATGTCTGCACCAGGTTCCCTTCAATGAGTGCAGGTACAGACCGATATGCTTTTTGCACCAGCTTCTCCACCTCTAGAGCCCACTGCTGCAGGTTTTCGTTGATGCGCTGCACGCGATCTTTAAGCTGCGCACGAAAGACGTGTTCCAGGTGAGCGTCGCCATATCTCGCCTCCAAAGCCTCAAGGAGCTGCTCATAAGTCACTTCCTCACCGAGAGCTTCCAGAACTGTTAAGGCCTGGTCGCGCAGGCCTAGTGTGAAAGCAGTCATGGCCTGACTTTTATTCCAGCCGTTCACCTTCATAACAGCCTCTAACTGGATTTTGTAGGCTGACCAGGAAGAAGTCCCGTCGAACGGTGGCACCTTGAACCCACGTAGCAAAGGTGTAGTAGCTACTACGGGAGCTGTAGTTCCATCCCCAAGTTTGAGTTCGTCCAGTGATTTCTTCATGTCAGCCATTATGTTGTCAACCCGATTGTTCACTTGGTCGAATCGGGTTTCAGCTTCCAACAGGCGGTTGTCATGTTGAGCAACCTTATCCTTCACCTCCTTTATTTCTTTCCCGGAGGTAGCATGAATGTCCTTCATGAGGAGCATCTGCTCTTCCTTATCGCGTTTGAGCTGCTCTTCCAAACGACGGACCTGTTCCTCCTGTCGGCGGGCCTGTACCTCCTGTCGGCGAGCCTGTTCCCCCTGCTGCTCTTTCAACCAACGGGCCTGTTCCTCCTGTCGGCGGGCCTGCTCCTCCTGTCGGCGAGCCTGCTCCTGCAGCATCACCATCAGAGCACCTAAGTCAGGTGTTGCAGAGGTAGGAGCTACTGACGGGCATATAGCCGGCGGCTAGCCCTCCTAAGTCTGCGGCGTTGCACCACCAAATCGTCTTTGGTCCGTCTCCTGCTGGCGTTGACTTCGGGTATGGACACCCTCCATTTCCTCCTTAGGTAAAATCGGCATGATTTTATCCCACTTCTGACACCAATTGTTACGAGCTTGAGGTTCGTGACAATAAAAACTGCACTTTTATTACCGAACACCAATTAAAACTTAAAACACTGATAATTAATCACATTGATTCACTTTATTTCGCTCCGAAGCTTCGCTTGTCTCGCCAAATTCAATACTGCCGCGATAGCGGGTTGCAGCGGCTTTAAATACACCTTTTACACTGAAACATCCAGAATATTCCAGCGCCGAACGACCAGACCCAGAAAGTTCGAGTGTGAGGCTTCTAGAAAGCTTAGTTCTTCTGTTCGATACTAGATGGCACTGTTGGTCGAAAGATCAAGATTCTGCTCTGCGGTGGCTCTGGTTCCCGACACTAGATGGCGCTAGTGCCAGATACCTGACGTCAACTTAGGCGCGCAACAATATGTATTTCATAAGAAATACTTGATTCCGAGTAGTGGCAGTGTGATAATATTCACTAGCCCATATCGTCTCGTTGGTGTCGTAAGAGGCGACAGAGGGAAACTGACACAGGAGATGGGCACAAGCATCTTCTTGATAACAAATTAAATAATAAAAGACTACAGTAGCCAATCCGCCAAACTATGGCAAAATCCTCCCCATGATGCAAACTATGGGAGGGCTATGTTCAGCAGTGGACTTTTACAGGCTGTGATAGATGGGAATGAAAGAAACATTTGTTTATATTTGACATTGTATCGAGAAGACTTATGTGGATGGTAAACATCCTATGATGTCGAGATACAATCGACAAAAAAAAAGTCGGAAATTCTAATTAAACATGAAAGATTTTTTGTAACTTCAAACTTGGCAGGTGGATACTTTAGATGCTTCCCCTTACGACCAGCAGGTGAGTTGCTAGGATGGACTTCCACCTACTGTCTGTTGCCATATTTTTTTTGTCATATTCTATTTTACGACTATATTATGATAGGAAACACTTTTTGTTAATTTGGATTCCGTAACACAAAAATGACCTTAATTTTAAACTTATTCAGAAGAACTTTTTGTAATTTCTAAATGTTACCTTCGACAATAATGTAAAAATCATTCCCCGGCTCTCCTTGACGCACAATTATTTCTCCGTCGTTGAAGGACACAGGCTCTAAAGCATCCGCGACTGTTAAGCGTTCCCATTTCTCCAAGCTTTCTGAAAGCAGACCCAATATTCTCTATAATCTTTATTATATATATTATAGATTTTACTCGCTTAGAGCGCTTAGATTATAGATTCTGTTAGAGATTATATAACTTCTGAATAACTTGACAGATTGATGTCATATTCACACAATGTATTTGTTTTGTAGTGGCGATGAATACTCATATTGATTTAGTGCCAAAAATAAAATAAAAATAACGACTTTGATAGGTGGTGCGGTGGTTGAGTTATTTACACTACTGTATAAAGTTCGAGTAAATGCGGAACGCACGTTCTACTGGAAAAGATAGAAAGACGTGTTACAGTAGACAGTCTTGTAGTGAAAACAATCTTTACTACGGCTTTGTGAATGTTATTGAATCTTATTTCGATTCCTAATAAATATTTCTAAGGGACATGAACCGTTGGTTTTACTATTTAAATAAAAACTTTTGATTATTCATATTGCTTCCACTTTTAATAACATAAATACAAGAAGTTCCGAAGTGAGTCTATAGGAATTTAATACATGTCGTACTATAAATTGCGCCGACTTCAATTTCCGGAAAACCAGAAATACATAATAACTTACAAAACAAAGAAATTATATTTTAAACAACAAATAGTGAATTCACACTGTTGCAACTGCCTTGTCTCGTTGAAGGGAGGATTGCTTAATCGCCACGCTTACTGTGCCATGTGGTGGCGACATAAGTGATTCCATCACTACATTTTATCTCATCGACGACGTAATAGACGACTATGAAAGATATTAGATATATCACACCATCGTCTTGTTCATAACTGAAGGGAAATATCCAAACTGACGACGGTGAGCGGCGTCAAATGTGCACTACTGGTACGGAGATATCTAGCGATTAAATTGCAAATCAGCAGTCATATCGTATATTAGTATTTTTACGTATGGCAATAACATAAACAATATGTGTATCATTTGGTGTACCTAAACAATGATCCTAATCGCAATTCACATATATCTATTTTTTTAACATACACAACCTTTGAACGGTACAAGGTTAAACTTTAGTATAATGTCCTCCAGACCGAATTTCGGCCACGGCGGCCCGCCTCAACGGAGGCTTGCCATCGGCGCAGGACAGGATTATAGTGCCCAAGTGTATGCGCAAGCACAGGTGCACTCTCTATTCCCTCACTCTCATAATCATATGGGACGGTAAACCGACACGACCAGAGAGAGATCAGGCGCAGGACCAACGGCTTTACGTGCTTTCCAAGGCACGGGGGTAAGACACCGCCAACTTCCTGACTCCAGGCAGCTACTGAGAAATTCTTGACAGAAAAACTCAATAATTGATTTTTTGGCCCAACCCGGGATTCGAATCCAAGACCTCATGATCAGGTTGTACCAGGAGAGCCGTGTTAGCCCAGATGGTTAGCGCTCGCTGTAAATTTCACAGTACTCGAGTAAACCGGGTTCGATCCCCGCCGGCACCAATGAAATTGTTAATTGCAATTTTAAGTGCTGATTTTCCACGTGCTCGGCGGTGAAGGAAAACATGGTGAGGAAACCGGCATGTCAGAGAAATAAGAAAAAAAATATTTCGAAGACATGTGAAGTTAACCAACACGCATTGGGGCAGCGCGGCGGACAATTCCTTGCCCAAACCCTCTCAGAAATGAGCGGAGGCCTGTGCCCAGCAGTGGGACGTATATAGGTTGTAACTTTACTTTTTACCTCATGACCAGCAGCCGCACTACTACAACCGCTAGACCAATGAGGCAGACTTTAGTATACAGAGGTGCTGGAACTATCCGAGTACAGTCAAGTCTAAATCCAATTTCAATCTATCGACAAATCTATCTCGGCTGTGGCGCATTCGGAAAATTTCCACACGTCTTCTGATACGACATGCCGCAGAATCTCAAAAGTGATGATATATGGCACCGAGCTGTGGCCCTGCACTATTTTCCATATCAGGGAACCTTCTTTTTTCCTGTTCTTGGATGCTATCTCTGCGTTATAAAATCCGTGGCTGATGATTTTTTTTAATAGGAAAAGGGTGACAAGCGAACACACAGTCCACCTGATGGTAAGTGGTTGCTGTGGCCCATAGACATCTACATCTATCGTCGTTTCCGAATCAAAATGTAGATGCGTTGTCAGCCTTGAGGACTAAGATGGAATGCCTCTTTTCCAGTAAAACGGGTCTCCGGTTCTCTACACTCACCATACGAAACACAGCAGCATTAAGATGCTATTTGACACTGGTATTCTGTGAGCGCGTGGTCCTTCCCCGGTCGAGCCGACCCATTCGTGCTGCAACTACACAATTAATATAGCTGCAGCATGGCTCTACCATGTAAAAAGTATGTCCACAGAAAAGGCTATATTCAAAAATGAATTAAAAACACCATAGTGTAAATGTAGTAGACTGTTTTTAAATAAATATATTCAATCAAAATATACCTAGTATGGATACCCTCGATAGGAACTCGTCATACATGCGTCGTTTTCGTATAGTGGAGCCCATGAGTATGCGGCGGTAAGAGTCGCGATCTAGTCCCCACAGCTTGAGCTGCGAACGCGCGCGCACGGTAGCGGCACGCGGAGTGCCGTATATCAATGCTAGCTCGCCGAAGCTGCCCCCTTCGCTTATTGTGGTCACCACTTCACCGTTCACTAACACCTGTAATTAAATATTATAAAGGAAGCGTCTAATTGAGACTACCACTCGAGAACCTTTCTTCACCATTAGTAGTCGGTTCTTCGAGCTTTACGGCCGTCCATTTTCACTTGGGATCATATAATTAATGAAATTAACCCAAGCCTACCACTTCAAGATAGTATAAGTTATTTCTGCGTAGATCTGACCAAAAATGAATAATTTTGAAGTTAAGGTAGCACGTACGTATTTAATTTAATCGTTTATCTTGTTTGTCGCAATTCTGTTAGACGGAAGTCTGCAGTCTGTGAACACGTACAGGATCGCTCCCGTCACTACATCAGATTTGATAGACCGCAAATACTCGCTAAAGAATACCGATTCCTTCCAAGGATGATTCGCGAGGCTATTGAAATCAAAAAACATCTTAATTTCAATAGAGAAGATGGCTGGGTGCTACCATCTGCTTGGGATCCTATAATAAATAAAATGAAATCCCAACCCAAGCATACAACTGCAAGACTTCAAGATACCATAAGTTCATACTGCATAGATCGGAACAAAAGTTAAATTTTAATCTATAGTAACCGCGGTTAACTATGACATATGGACGTTGAACATCTCAGTCCCGCCCGTGACCATGAGTGCTGTAAAGCGTTCGAAACGTCGGGTATTTAAAAAGTTAAATATACGCGATAAATTCCGTAAAAACTAGTATTATTTCAATTCCATCTTAGTCCTCACGGGTGACAACGCATCTGCATTTTGATTCGTAATCGAGGATAGATGTAGATGTCTAGGGGCCACAGCAACCACTTACCATCAGGTGTGCTCGTTTGTCACCCTATCCTATATATAAAAAAAAGTTGCTACTGATCTGTTGCACTCTCTAGTTCTACTGCGGATATCCTAATTACGAATTCTATCATACAGAGAAAATCCGAGTATAGTCATCTTTATAGACCTACCCCATATCATCCCGCAGGTGTCATAAGAGGTGACAGAGGGAAGTTGAAATGGGCAGCCAGCATTTTCCTGATGATAGATGTCTATGGGCCACAGCATCCATTTATCATAGGGTGGGCTATGTGCTCGTTAATCACCCTCATTCATTTAAAAAAACCCAACTAAAACTTAGCACTGCTGAAGGGACTTTAGCACCACCCAAATTTGGATGGAATCAAAGGCTTGCTCATAGTTCACACAACAACACCAACAGAACCATAACATTTTTAGATATAATATAGTGCTGCATTAGGATAAACAGATTCTGTTATCCAAAATAATACTGTAACCAAGAGTTCTTTAAAGTAAAGTAAAGTAAAGTTACAGCCTATATACGTCCCACTGCTGGGCACAGGCCTCCTCTCATTTCTGAGAGGCTTTTAGGGCAAGGAATATTCCGCCGCGCTGTCCCAATGCATGTTGGCGAACTTCACATGGTTTCAAAATATTTTTTTTCTTATTTCTCAGACATGTAGGTTTCCTCACGATGTTTTATTTCACTGCCGAGCACGTGGTAAATCAGCACTTAAAATTGCAATTAACAATTTCATTGGTGCCGGCGGGGATCGAACCTGGTTTGCTCGCGTGACGTGAAATTTACAGCGAGTGCTAACGATCTGAGGTACCACGGCTCTAGAAGCTAGAAAAGTTTTAACCTAAAGTATTTTGCTCTGAGTCATAATTTCAGTTTCATTATTACATTCTGTCCCATTATAAATAAGGGCTGATTTACACTTCGATAAGTACAATAGTGATTTTAGTTATAGGGCAGTTGACATAAAATGGTTAAGTGGGCAGTAGCATTAAAATATCCTAGTGGCGAGTTTTGTTAAAAAAGTATAATTTTATATTTCGAGGGTCGAACGCGCGTCCTGTCAACTTATGCACTGAAATAGTTACTACTGACTCAACGAAAAATAGACAGTCCGGCTATCCCGTTCAACTTAATTGTTAATTTGCTACTTTTAGATTGCCATTCAGACGAGATTTTTACTTAACTCGCCAGGTTCGCAAGTTAACTCGCGACTGTACTTGTCGAAGTGGATTATTCCGTTTATCCACCCTGTGAATCCACCACTCGGAAACGCGTGTTCATCTATTCACCTCAGATAGGGTGGATAGTTGGAATTTACTTTTATTAGGTCACGTCATGTCACGTCACCAACTGCTATGCTGTCCCCAAAATTACAACTATTAATTAAACTACTTCTTATACCATTAAGTGACTGACTGGATACAATGAGCATTGCTAAAATTGTAGTTTGTAGCAATATTGTTTAAATATTTTTGGGCAGATATAAAGTATCTTTTGTCAAATTGAAATTCCTAACAATTTATTAAAGACAAATAATACAAAAGTGTCAATTTGACACCATGTTAAATTGTGTAATACTGCGGTTACACGTTCAGTATTTGATCAGTTCAGTCCATCAGTCTGATGCAACTTTGACTGACGCCAGAAAGATAGTCGGCAGTTATACGATCAGTCTTGCATCAGTATTTCATCTTTTACAATGGACTGACGAAAATTATGTCAAATATTTAATTTTTATCAGTCCTGACCATCAGTCTGTGGGCTGAACGATAATTGTGCGGTCATTCTGACCAGACTGATGGTCTGAACTGATAAAATACTGAATGTGTAACCGCCATATAACAAAGTATTCAATTGAAGATATGGTCTATTATCTACTTAATCTATTTAAAAAATGAAGGGAGGAGATTAATTACTTGATTATAAAAGTCCAGGGAGTAGAAGAGATTTATGCTTAACTGAGGTTTGTTTATATTGATGAGATTTCTATAAGATCCTTACCTCAACTTCTCCAGAGTCGACGATGTAGAAATTATCGCCTTCGTCACCCTGACGAATAACAGTCTCGCCTTGCAGACACTGCACTGGAAACATGGCGTCGAACATGTCTGCCCGCTCCGACTCGTCTAAATGAGTAAATAGCACGTTGGAAGCAATTGCGCGCGACAGCGCTCCCATTGTTTTGTAGTCTTTCGGCACAACCTGCCACACAACAAAAATAGGTTACATACAGTCGAAACGTCGGGAATCGGGAAAGGAGTAGTTTTTTGTAAATACTTGTTGAAATAGTTTTTGTTTAGTGTTTAGTATATTTAATTGTAGGATAAAATAGTTGAAAAAGTTTTAACGTAATTTAAAAACTATAGGTATATATTATGTAAATTACCCATTTGATCAATTGTAATGGCAAAAGGTAGTTATGCAACCACAAGACCATAGGGTTGTTACGGTTCGTATTTAGAGGGGGCTGCATAAGCATTAGACAGTATCCAGTAACTGTAGAGTCAGCGCTTTTGGTTGCATGAGGCATCAGGCAGAGCTCATGGGAGCGGCCACTTCGTTCTGACATCGACTTCTGTCAAGACGTATTAATTAAGTAGTTATAATTATAATTGTATTAAGAAATAAAATAGATTTTAAATAGTTTTTAAAAAATCATTTTACGTTCCCGTAATCTTGACTGGCGCAGCCGGTAGGATCGTCACACTTCGGTAGTGTTGCGTCCTTCGCGAATTCGATATAAAACTCTGTCGTAATCGGAGGTCCGCGGCGCGAAGAAAAACCGAGACGATCCTCGAACCAAAGAAATTTGTCAAGGAAGCGGAGCTGATCCTGAACCATGAGAGCAGCTGGGGGCTGGTGAGTAGAACTTTTCACCATCCTTTCCACTACCTCGACGTTCTGTTATCTTGAGATCGAACTTCTCTCATTTTAACGTATTCTGGTTAAATAGTTTAAAAATTAAATAAATAATTGTACGTAATAAATAATTTAAGTTTTACCTATTTCCATAATTTACAAATTATATACAAATTATATTTTTACAAAGAAATAGTCTTATTAAGCATATACATTTTATTTCTTAATAATTTTGTGTGATATTTAGATTTCTTTTACATTTTATTTTATTTTTATTGTTTGTGTGTGTGTGTGTAAATTAATACATAATTATGGAGAATATCAGACTTATTCCCGGTGAAATGATTAAAATCATCCCTACGTTTGATGGAGATAAACGTCATTTAAATCTATTTTTAAGAATGTGTGAATATGTTATAGCTAAATTTACTGGCACGACGGAACAGAATTTGTACGTGATGAATACAATAACAAGTCGCCTTATCGGCAATGCAGCTGCATTAGTCGGTGAGCGCGATGATATCGAAACGTGGGATGAGTTTAAGCAATTATTAATTCAGCATTTTGGAGACTCGCGAAGTGAGGAGTGTTTAAATATCGAACTTGAGACTTTAAGAATTAAACCCGGAGAAAGTTATTTAGATTTTTGCTGTCGAATTCAATCTTTGAGATCAATTTTAATAGGCAAAGTTAATCGGTTATCGGACTCAAATATGCGTTGTAGTAAAAAGGCTATTTATGAAAATACGTCATTAAACGTTTTCCTGTACAATTTACCGGAACATTTAGTTCGAGTAGTGCGTCTCAAGGCCCCAAATTCATTAGAGGATGCGCTCTCCACTGTATTAGAAGAAGTTAACTTCCATAGTCAGTACCAAATGAGAAACAAAATGTCTGGATCTAATCTCGCATCTCATTCACAATCGCATAACGCATCGTCATCATTTAAATTCGGTAATAATAACACTCAACCTCAACATTTTTCTAGTTTTAAGCCCATGCAAATGAACCAACCACCTAGATATAATTTTGGTATCCCACCGAACAAGCAGGTGCAGATGCCGCTTCCCACTCAAGGTCAGCAGCGACAATTTAACAATTTCGGAAATTATTATCGACCACCACAACCTAATAACAACCAAATGCAATTCGGATATCGTCCACCTCAATTTGGCTATTATATATTATGCGTCCTCAACAGTTCGGTATGCAACAGCGATACAATAATAATAGTAATGCCCCACAGCATAACCAACCGCGAATTAACACAGATGTGTCGATGCGCACAGCACCTGTAGCACGACCGCAGCAAGGTTTTAGGGTAAATGAATTAGAATTAAACGAGAATGATTATAACGACGATATGTATTACTACGAAAACCCACACTATTTCGATCAATATCCTAATGACGCTTCTTACTGTTACCCCGAATGTCAATCCGAAGAAACTGTAAGCGCGGAAATTGAGACCAACGCGGCAGATACAAATGACATGAAGACGACGGAAAATATTGAAAATTTTCACATATACGCCTCAACCAAACCCCCGAAACCATAGAACTAAATTGTGACTCTAATTTGAAATTACCTTATATATATATCCCCGAGTTAGATTCTAAATTCATGCTGGACACCGGTAGCACACGTTCATTTATAAGCCCACGCAAAGCATATCAATATTTTAAAAACGAAATTTTTAATGAACCCTTCGAGGTTATTAGTACACATACTACAAGTAGCCATAATCAGGTCATAGTTATTCCGTTACCACCCACATTTAAAAGCCCCGAATATCATAAGTTCTATATATATAATGTAGATTCGCGTTACGATGGCCTCATAGGTAATGACTTATTAAAACAATTAGAGGCTGTCATCGATTTAAAGCGTCATATACTTTCGACAAAATTTACAAATATCCCTATTATACATAATTTTGAAAATCACATTTTTATTTTACCTCCTAGATCGGAATTACGTGTTAAACTACCAACCGATGTACATTCAGGCGAAGCCATATTAAATTATAAGCAGTTTTGTGAAGGTGTTAGAATGCCAAGTGCTATTGTGACGTGCAATAACGGATATGCTTCAACAGTTATCCAAAATACTGTCGAACAAGAAATGACCCTGACCGTGACACGACCTTTCCAAACTGAGACTTTTAATGACAGTGAGAAAACCCTAGTTAATTCCCTTGTAGATAAAACTGATACCGACATTGACCAACTCCTATTACAAAATTTAGGTAAATTAAGACTAGAACACATGAATGAGGAAGAGCGTAAAACTATTTTTGCGCTCTGTACGGAATACAAAGACATCTTTTACTGTGACAAATTGCCCTTGACGTTCACCAATCAAGTGAAACATTTTATCCGTACCGTTAATGAAGACCCAATTTATACTAAAGCGTACAGACAACCACCCGCTCAAGCTCAGGAAATAAAGAGGCAAGTAGAGAAACTCTTGGAAGACAATGTCATTCAAGAATCTTTCTCTCCTTGGAGTGCCCCAGTTCATTTAGTACCAAAAAAGGGTTGACGCGTCTGGGGAACGTAAATTTCGTATGGTGATCGACTACAGACGACTTAACGAAGTGACTATAGGAGACAAATATCCTCTACCAAATATTAACGACATATTTGATAAATTAGGCAAATGTACATACTTCTCGACCTTAGATCTTGCAAGCGGTTATCATCAGATTGAAGTCAACGAAAGTGACCGACAAAAAACTGCGTTTAGCACCGAATTTGGCCATTACGAGTTCTTAAGAATGCCGTTCGGATTAAAGACAGCGCCGGCAACCTTCCAACGCGCAATGGATAACATTCTAAGAGGCCTGCAAGGAATCCACTGTCTAGTCTACTTAGATGACATAATTGTGGCATCTCAAAGTCTCCAAGAACACATTGAAAAGTTACGCATGATTTTTGACAGACTACGACAGACTAACCTCAAGGTGCAACTTGATAAATCTGAGTTCTTGCGGAAAGAAGTCCTCTATCTAGGTCATAGCATCACCAAAGATGGACTTAAACCGAACGACGACAAAGTAAAGGCAATAATTAATTACCCACTTCCGAAAACTACCACTGAAATAAAAAAGTTTTTTGGGACTCATAGGCTATTACCGTCGTTTCATTAGGGACTTCGCGAAAATAACGCAACCCCTTACTTCCTGCTTGAAGAAAAGAAATAAAATTATTATCGACAAATCATATATAGAAGCATTTGATGCAAAGAATTACTTGTTAATGCACCTCTTTTACAATACCCAGACCCATCTAAACCCTACATACTTACAACAGATGCGTCCTCTGTCGCATTAGGCGCCGTGTTGTCACAGGGGGCAATTGGTTCTGAAAAACCAGTCGCATACGCCAGTCGCACCCTAAGTGACACTGAAACAAAGTATAGCACAATCGAACGTGAACTTCTAGCCATTATATGGGCAGTTAAATATTTCCGACCTTATCTGTACGGACAAAAATTTTACGTATATACTGACCACCGACCTCTTGCCTGGCTTTATGCACTCAAAGAACCAAATAGTAAATTAACAAGATGGCGACTACGTTTACAAGAATTTGATTTTGAGGTAATCTACAAAAATGGAAAGCAGAACACTAACGCTGACGCCCTATCTCGTATCAAACTAAACGCATTAGATTCCGACGATGACACTGATTCGATGCAAGTGAATGTATCCGATACAGACAAAAACCTTAAAAACTATGTAGACAGCTTGACCGACGAAATTTACCGCATAGCGAAACTTAACAAACCAAATGAGAACTCCGATACAATAACTGTGTCTGACCTATCAGCTACCCTTTCAGCATCTGATCCAATAGATATAACCGAACAAACTTATCCCGTACCATCTATTAGCACAGAAACAGTACACTCAGCGTTAGAATTAGAATCAACAGGTATACCTATATTAAGGGAAGCTGTAGATACTAAACCTAATCAAATACTTATATTCACTTGGTTTAGGAATGAAATGCAGGTCAAAGATATTTCAAACAAAAAGCACAAAATTTTAGAAGTGTTCTTACCTATCAATAACGAAATCTTAATTAAACAATTTTTAAAAGAATATGTAAAACCAAAGATTAAATACTTCATTTACTTTGAGGACGAATCACATAGAAAACAATTTTCCAAAATTATCATAGAACTATTTAAAAAGGGCACTGTAGAATTCTTCGAGTGTACAGAACGTGTCATATACGTAGAAGACGAGGCCGAACAGAGGGAAATAATTCTAAAACATCACGAGGGTAAAACATGTCACCGCGGTATAAAGGAAACCATGGTAAGCATACGTAGGAACTACTTTTGGGATAATATGCAGGAAACAGTTTCGGCTGTAATTAATAATTGCCATACCTGCAAAATTTCAAAATATGATAGAAAACCAATTAGACCGGTCTTGCAATTAACACAAACCCAGAATTCTCCTTTTCAGGAAGTTTTCATCGATCTTTTTTCTATAGAAAATAAATATTTTCTTACCTTAATCGATGCTTTTAGTAAATTAGGTCAAGCATTTGAAATCTCAAATAGATCCACACCTGAGGTAGTTCGAGCCCTTATAAAGTACTTTTCATTCTATGGCGTACCTAAAAAGATAACTTGCGACCCTGGAAAAGAGTTTAACAATGAGCTAATGCGAGAGCTTACAAATATGTATAAAATAGACCTTCACATCACAACACCCAATAATCCTAATTCCACAGGTATTATAGAACGTTTTCATTCGACAATAATTGAAATATATCGTATTGCTAAGTACGAGCAGAAATTTACAGATGCAGCTTCTATTATGACTTACGCTATAATGGCTTATAACCACACAATACATTCAACTACTAGTTTAACTCCGTTTGAAGTCTGCTTTGGGCACACTGATTCTGGAAAGGTTTTTGATAACGATTTCGATAGGGCCTATACCCAACAGCTGTTAAAAGACCATCAAAAACGCACTAAATATTTATATAAGTACATTTCCGATCGAATGATTGAACAAAAGGAAAAGGCTAGGGAACGGAAAGGAGGAGAAACAAAGGTAGTACTCAACGAAGGGCAAATAGCGTACGTAAAGGACATCAATATTAGGAAAAGCAAGGACAAACCTAGGTACAGGAAAGCTGTTATCCAAGGTCCTGCAGAACGTAATATCGTTCCCGTTAAAATAGGTGAACGGGATACAAAGGTACCTATTAAAAATTTCAAACGACCTCCACAGGTGGTGCGTGGTCATCCTGACTATGGCTCATATACTTGGGACCCGCAGTCTTCAACTTCAAAAAATTGACAGCAACCCGGGCCTGCTTCCTGTAAAAGAAGGCCAAGCTTTTAAACAAACAAGCAGGTGGCTTATAGTGAAAGAAGTTAGCTTATTAGGAATAAAGGAAAATTTAGATTTAAATATTATTAAGTTCAAAGATTTTAGTAGGTTAGTTGATATAAATAAACCTTATGCTTATGAATTCCAAGCCATGAAAACGCAAGCTGATTATTCTTGCGATATAACTATTGAAAAATTCAAGCAACTTGTACCATCCAATAGATTTAAAAGAGGTCTCATAGATCCCCTAGGATCAATCATTAAAGCAATCACCGGCAATTTAGATCACGAAGATGCTCTTAGATACGATTCCGTTATATCTAAATTAAAGAACAACCAATTAAGTGTTGATAGTAAAATCACCGTTGTTTCTAAAATGCTGAATAGCTTGGCAAATAGTACAGAAACTTTACATGAAAATGAACTAATATTAGATGAACGCTTAAAAAGAATTGAACGAATAGTAAAATACATAGCTACCAAAGAAAATAATTCAATTTATAACACATATATTTTAGGCATGTATAATATGTTTATTAGTAACTTTCGTAGTATTTACCTTAAACTTAGTGAAATAGAAACTGCTCTAGCTTTAAGTAAAGTTTCAGTATTACACCAATCAATTATTAATTCATCTGAACTGTTAGTGATACTTAATGATATAGCCAAAGTCGATAACCTAGTGTACCCTGTAAATGTAGAAAATTTAATAAAGATTGAAAGAACTATTGTTATAAAAGCTTACATGAAAGCAAACCAGATTACGTACTTGATGGAAGTTCCACTTACTGATAGTTTTAATTATAATTATTACAAATTATACCCATTACCTGTTTTCGATGCACTTAGAAACAGAACGTCTGTAATAATTCCCAAGTATCCCTACATTTTGGTGAAAGGTTCACAATACTTACCGGTCTCCCGGCCGTGCACCGAAATAGCGGCGGATGAATTCCTGTGTATGAGCTCCAACATGGTATCCTATCCTAGAAACACATGTGCTGAACAACTGATGAAATTCCAAAACAATCTCACACTATGCGAACCTCGGCTCGTTGATCTTGAGGATGTCAAAATCCAGTCTATCGGCCCTGTAAATTGGATTATATACGCCAACCATAAAATAATATTAACAAATAAATGCCAGGATGACATAACTAAAGAATCACTTTTGGGCACATACATCATAAAAATTAGTGAAGATTGTGAGACCTTCATAGATAATTATAAATTGTTGCACCGCCTATACTTTGCTAAGGAACTTGGCTATAGAGTGACCCCAGTTATAAACTTACCAAGACTGGATCACCTGAACCTGACGGATACTGGAGCAGTTAACCTGAAAGGCTTAGCCTTAGATGACCTGAAACATCTAGCATATGTGTTGAATCAAAATCTTAAATTCAGTGGCAGTGAACATAGTGATCAAAGTGATAATAGTGTGATAAGGGTCAGAGGTGTTAGCTTAGCTACTTTATTACTGTATGTTATTTTACCTATTGTTATTTTCCTTAGCGTTTTAAGAAAATGTAAAAGTAATTTAGTTAACAGATGGCGGAATCATCGGACAACAGCTGAAAACACTGCAGCCGATAATTCCGCTCTTGGAGAGGGAGGAGTTATGCAACCACAAGACCATAGGGTTGTTACGGTTCGTATTTAGAGGGGGCTGCATAAGCATTAGACAGTATCCAGTAACTGTAGAGTCAGCGCTTTTGGTTGCATGAGGCATCAGGCAGAGCTCATGGGAGCGGCCACTTCGTTCTGACATCGACTTCTGTCAAGACGTATTAATTAAGTAGTTATAATTATAATTGTATTAAGAAATAAAATAGATTTTAAATAGTTTTTAAAAAATCATTTTACGTTCCCGTAATCTTGACTAGGTTGTTAACACAAAATACTGAAATTAAAACTTTGTTTACTAACAACATTTTTAACTAAGTAGCATATGATCACATTTGTCAGAAACCGTATTTAAGGTGTATTTGTTATTTCTTCGAGGAATGGCCTTGCAAGTTGCATGTGTTGGGCATCGCAGAACTAACATTGGTGCAAAAAATGTTCAGTCGATCATAGTCAGAACAGGTACTTCACCTAAGTATCTTAATATCATAATTCTTTATTGACATCCCTTAGTAACCACGGAAAGTCTGCCGTGACGTAGGAAGAGGAAAAGATGCAAAGTAATATGGACACTCGCGCGCAGCGATAAAAATTTATTTAGGTTGCGTACGCGATTTATTTAATTAATAATATTTATGTAGGTTATTAAACGACTGCAAGCAGTCAACATCAAAGGAGTGCTTCTGTACGTAATACTATTATTTATTCTGTGCCAGTATTCCCCAAAAAGAAAGTGTTAGGCTACTGACTGTTGCAAAATTGATATGCTGTAATTCATTGTAAGTTTTTCACTTTGACCAGGTATGTGCTGTTAGTTATTTTAAGTATGTTATATGCCGAATTTTATATTTAACCATATGCCTGACAATTTTACTTCTTTCACTAACAAGTTATCGTAAGTCACAATAATCAACCTCACACTTGCAACAGAAGGAGCAGCTAAAGTAATAACGGGATGGCATGTGTCGAAAGAAGCCTCATGCTCAGATCACAGATGGATCTATTGCGTATTACAGGTCGATATCCCCGCTATGAAGAAATGGAGAAATCCCCGCAAGATGGATAAAACAAAATACTTCAATAGGCTGACGTCTTCGCTCGCGGGTGTTGGGGGAACAAATACCATAGCAGATCAATCGCTCCTAGAAGAACAGGAGAATGAATGAAACCATGAATTATGTCCAGTAATCACTCTACCAAAATATGCTGAGCTATAGCAACCGTGGTGGGGTAAAGAACTAGACAGGAAACATAAGAAGGTAAGAAATGCTCTAAATAGGACCAAATACCTCAATGGATGAAGACTGGTTACTATATAAGGAAGCTAAGTCTGAATACACAAAATGTATCAGGTATTGACGCTCAACAGGGTGGCGCAAATTCTGTGGTAACATAAAAACCTGTTAACAAGCGAATCAGATAAGGAAAATCCTAGCTGAACAGAACACGCCGGGATACATCTCTTTAAAGAAACTCGACAGAAGCTACTCAACATCGCCAGATGAAACCCAACGCATCATAATTAAAACTCACTTCCCAGGTTGCTGTGTAGTTGAAAGGGTAAACCGGCATGAAGATGCACTGACACTAACAGAAGAAGATTGGAGTTTAGCACAGAGAGTGTTAACGATGGACAAAATCCATTGGGCCATTCATAGTTTCATCCCCTATTAGGCGGCAGGACCTGACGGCATATTCCCGGCACTTCTACAATGGGGGGGGGGGGGGTAAAGCCTTAATAGCCAGACATGAGAGCATGTCTGACATGAGCGGCGCCCTGATGAGACATGCAGAAGGTTAGAACTGTGTTTTGTGGTATTTTTTAGAAGATGCCTATGTTCAGCAGTGTATTAAAGGTGAATACTAAATTTACTTAAGAAAAGATCATGAATACTGATTTTACTGTCAAAAATATTGTTTTAATCTTAACTTTTCCAATACTGATTGTGTAGGTAATGTTACATTTTAATGGTCAATTGGGAGGGAACCAGGACTATTGACATATTTGACTTGTATAGGTTGACCTTTTTTACAATGGCACATTAATGGACACAAGAGTTAAGAAGATTTTATACCTTTTTAACATAGCTGGTTGCATCCTCCTCAGTGACAGGCTCAGCACTGATGCCACCGCGTCGACGTGGTAGCTGGCCGCCGGGCAGTGGTAGCGGCGACAGCTCACCATCGCCTTCGCCCTCTGATGTAGCTGCAGCTGCCGCAGCAGCCTTTACTTGTTCCTGTTGAATAATTAAAAGTGAACATAATTATTTGAAATCCTTATTAACCAAATATATAGTCAGTTGCATAAGGCTTTGCAGTATTGCCAGTAGTATAAAATTACAATATTGTATATCAGTTATTTGAAAAACTTCTTGTCATGCAGTCCTGTGTAGTGTTTGCTGTAATAATGGCAGAGATTTTCAATATTAAGCATCAATAGCCACATTATTACATACATAATTTTGAATTTCCATTCTGGCTTTAAGGCTTTGTGTATCTTTTGAGCGAGTATGCCAAGAATTTTAGAGTAATAAGTCAAAGGGTAACACTTCCTTGCTAATTACCTTGTTTGTATTTATCTTTTTTTACTTGGTTTGATAAGTACAAACAGGGTAATTACAATCTTGAAGATGAACCTCAGTGTCATCCCTCAGCATTAGATAATGATGAAAACCCAAACAAAATCTTGCAGCCATAAAGTAAACATTTTGTTATAAGGAAATTTATGTTCTGTATAATCAATGGAATTTTTTTTTGGAGATTCATGGAATATCAGGTTTTTAGAACAGAGAGATAATGCTGAGTGGAGCCATATTATTACCTTATGAATGAATGTATATTTTAGAATATTTTTTTAAATTTTAGTTACTTAATCTGTTTATCAGTTAAAAGTATTATAAAGTCCATCAGTATCTAAATATTTTACCTTTAACATATACACACACATACCTTAGCATTTGGTTGGCATTCAATCAACCAAAAGAAACAGTATCTTACAACGAAATAAAAATAAAATAAATAAATAGTGAGTAAGTATTATACAATAATCTATATTGAATAAAATCATTCGTTTCATTTCAAACTTCTAGTACCTAAATGTTGCTCAAAGTGAATATCAGAAGACCCAAGTTTCGAACATAAGATACATGTTTCAAATAATCAATAATTTCCCACTGTGTACACTATATTGTACCATAACATTACCACTACAGCCTTTTATAATTTATGAAGTGAAAACTTCTTTAGAATCATTGTGATTTCAACTTGATGAAACAAAAAAGCGACACTAAAAAGAGTAACAAACATATACACCTATTTAGCCTGCGAGAGAATGATCTTGCAGGCTAAATCCTATAGAATGTATGTGTATACAATACAATGTAGACCACAAACTCAAAAGGTTGCGGGTTCAAATCCACCATTCGATTATTGTTTATTATATTTAACAATTTAATAACATTAACTCAATATATCAATCCACGACTTTATAAATTTATGCCATCTAGTATCCATTGTACATACTTACGAGAGTCAATCAAATTTTTTTTTTGATAAAAAGACTACCTATAGAATGAAGTAGATTACAATATTACAATACAACTTTAATGGAAAGAAAATATTTCTTTCATTAATTACACTAAAATTATGTCTAAAATAAGGATTGAAAAATTAATTCGCTATAAAATTAAAATTTTATCTTGTATTTTTCGGGTAAATGATCATGTTAAAATTGGTAAAAATCGTCTAAATGAAATAAAATGAGGTGTCTTCAAACTAGGTAAGACACATCATTTTATTTCATTGAGCGGATATGGACGAAGTCATTTTTTACCAATTTTAATATAATGGATTTCTGCAAAGTCACGCCTGATTGTATTGACATTTATCATTATAAATAAACCATTTGCCATGAAATATTTTTATTTTATAATTAATTTCATTTGAAGGTTTCCCTGTTTTAATTAATATGCAGTAGAAGTATATTCTACCGCATATTAATTAAAACAGGGAATAAACAATGAACAATTTAGTGCAAAATTCGACAGTAACAATTAGAATGAAAAATAAATTATGCAAGGAATCTTACACTGTCGGCCTTAGAAAAATAATTTTTTTGTTCAATATAAATTATAAATAATACTTATTGATAGTTACTCTTATGCTTAATTTACCACAAAATAGCTCTGTCCTGGGATAAACCAGTTGGTAATTTTTCAAAAAAAAAAAAAGAAGACTTTACAATCATTAAAGTTACACAATAATTAAAAACACAACACAAACTAGAAATATCAGAGTAGCAATCACCTCATTCCCAGGGGTTATTATTATCCATAAATTTCTTAATATTATAATATTTTTATACAATATTTGTTTAACAAAGTTTTTAAACTTTGCAAAGTTAGATTTTTTTATATTTTCTGGGATTTTATTATATAAGCTACATTGGGGGTCTATGGGAGGAAGTGAGAGATACAAGTGTCGTGCTTTTTTGCTTAAAATTTATTGTCTTATTAAGTGTTGTTGATTTACTATAGTAAATTTTTCTGTCTTGGTGGAGGTTTTAACATCTGTAAATTAGTAAGTGTTTGTAGTTGTGCCGTTTTTATGTAATTGTTTGTTGTAGTAATATAATGGAGGACGGACCTCCCGATCCCGGAAGGGTTCGCAATGATTCCTTTTCCTTACCCATTAACATTGATAATGTAGAACTAATTAACTGTAAATGTGCCCAAGTAAGTAACGAGTCTGCCCATCCACAAAAAATAGTTATTACTGATCCAAATCAACAGTTTCCTTCAATACAATCCTCATACACCCATCCTGATTTTATTAATATAAAAGTTAAGTACTCTCAAGATGATGCCGCTCCTTTTCTAGTTCACGTAAGTAAAATCTCAAATGATCAGCTGTCTGGAGTAACTCTTAAACCAATTAAATTCGGTCACTTTCTGTATCATAACAATATTAAAAATATAGTCCATGATGGAGTCAAAAAAGTTGGACGAAATAGAATATCAGTGGAGTTTAAAACAGCTGCAGATGCAAACAACTTTATCGATCACCCAGCTCTCCAAATTTCTAAATATGAAGCAACCATCCCCTCATATAGTATCACTCGTATGGGGCTAGTTAGACAAGTTCCCATAGAGTGGACACTAGAAGAATTAATAGCAGCTATAGAAATTCCCTCTGGCTACGGTTCTATAATTAAAGCACGGCGACTTAATAGACGATCAGTGAGTGACAGCAATAGCGTTTCATGGGTTCCAACTCAGACGGTTGTTCTAACTTTTTCTGGACAAAAACTTCCTCCCCATATTTACTGTTTTTACACCTCAATGCCAGTGGAAAATGTGTTTTGCCACAAATTCAGTGTCATAAATGTTGTAGATTTGGCCATGTTACTTCCCAGTGCCGATCATCACCTCGCTGCTTTGTATGTGCACAAAATCATGAAGGTTTATCTTGTACTCGACAAACTCCTACTTGCCTATTCTGCTCTGGTCCCCACACCGCAAAAGACCCCACATGTCCTGAACATCTAAGGCAAAAATCTATTAAACTTGATGTCACAAGAAAATATTTCATATTTAGAAGCTTCAGCTAGATTCACTCAGAGAAAAAGATCCTTTGCTGATACAACAAGAATCCAGCCTCGTAATTGTTCTCAACAGACCCCTTATACTATAACTGACAGTCTTTCAACCCCTTCGGCTCAGCTCTCACAAACTGCATCATATAAAAAAACAATTTTTATCCCTCAACGTACCTGCAGCTAATCATTAAATTCTGGATATGATATGGTAGCCCATCAGGCAATTGTTGAGAATCCTAATTCTTCCCTTCCTAATGGGTGTGCTCTACTGGGAAATGACAACAACTCCTCTAGTAATGATAATTTCTGCGAACTTATGATATCAATGCTAATTAACATGATCTCTCGTTTTAGTGACACGGAACTTCCTCTCAGCTTACACCAAAAACTTACTCAGCTTTCCTCCTTAGCCCGTAACATTCGCAGTCCCACCAATTCTTCAATGGAATTTTCGGAGCATTAGAAATAAAAAAATGAACTCACCTCATTAATAAACTTCATCCCTTCATTCTTGCCATCCAGGAGACATGGCTTAGGCCTGAGTCTCATTTTAGGGTTTCAGGCTACGCATGCCTCCGGGATGATAGGAGTGATGGTCGTGCTGGCACCTCTATTTTAATTTCAAGAACAGTTACATTTTTACAAATTCCTCTCCCTTCTCATAGTCCAGCAGTAAATGCTGTTGCTATTAAGGCCCTTGAAGTCTCTATTCTCTCTGTTTACATTCCTAATCCTGATGTAAATGTTTTAACAGAACTTACAACACTTATTTCTTCTCTGTCACCTCCTATGGTTATTTTGGGAGATTTTAATATGCATCATACTGTTTGGGGTTCCCATCTGTGTGATTCACTGGCTCCCTTATTTTTAGATCTTATTGATAATTTTAATATCTGTATTCTAAATGACGGGTCTCCTACCCGTCGAGTATCCCCATTACAAAATGTTAGAAGTGCCATTGACCTAACTCTCTATTCCCCAGATATTGCTTCCCTTCTTTTGTGGCAAATATTACCTTCTAGCTATGGCAGTGACCATTTTCCTATATTCATCACTCCTCCTACTTCACCTAGAATAAATTTTACATTTTGCTCAAGACTAAAGTATATCTATCCAAAGCTAATTGGCAATTATATTCTACAGTTTTGGAACAAGAGGTTTCAACTCTTCCCCCAATTAACAATGATAATATTGCTCCTGTATATATAGAGTTCAGAAATGCAATTATTTCTGCTGCTAATAAGTCAATCCCCTTAAAAAACCTTTCAAAAATAATTATCCTTCCCCCCCTTGGTGGGACCAAGATTGTTCAGCAGTTTGTAGGAGAAGAAAAGAGGCTGAATTAATATACTCCCGTTCTATAACTGCAGAGAATTATATCTCCTATAAAAAAATTGCTGCAGAAACCTTAAAATTACTATCAGACAAAAAGCATACTGGTTGATTTAAATTCTGTGAGTCACTGTCACCTAGGACTCCCCCATCTTTGGTCTGGAGAAATGTTAAAAAATGTCGCTGTGCAGTTTCTAGTGAAAATATAATTTCTAATGATCCTTCCCTGTGGATAGATGAATTCTCTAATAAACTTGCACCACAAACAGTCCCATCTTATGATGAATGCCTAGTTTTTAATTCTGCTTT